CAGGTGATACTAGTACAACGACCTAGGAAAAGGGAAACATTCATCTGGATCCTTAGTAAGTGCCAAAAGAAAAAAAAAGGTGAAACCTAGGAGCCAGAGCCCAGCCTTTGTGAATCATGTTTCACTGCGGTTGTACCACTGTACCCGCGTCCCTAGAGGCATGGACTTTGATACCACAGGTTACTGGTGAAGCTGAGTGCCTGTGTGGACTTCACGGAGGGGCCAGGTAAATACAGGAGGAATGTTACAGGTATGGTTATCTTTCCAGTACACCTCTTTTCCAGCATGCTTCTGTCTGATTTACGATGCCAGGTTGTGTCTGAGACAAAATAACTTGGTTTGTAGTCTCAGCCAAGTGCAGGCACTCAGAAAATGCTAATTGAAGAGGTGCAGCAGTTGGTGTTCCTGCCTACACCCAGGAAACGTTTACTGAAACTCCCTGGTAAAAGGTCCCAGCGAGCTGGCGTGTCTGGTGCCCCTGCCAGTGGGCTTTGCTGGCCCCCAGGCAGGCACACTTCCACTGCTAGCAACCCGCAGGCCGTTAGAAGTTGGAAATGTATAGGCTTGTGCTTCTCCCGAGCTCCTGGCAAAGCCAAGTGGCGAAGTTTGTACTAGAGGGATTTTATTTAATAGTTTGGTAGTGTAGCAATTCTTTTCCTGCAGTCCTAAAACCAGAACAGAGCTGTGATTCCCAGGATTAATTCCCAACCAGCCCTCGTGGCAAACCTTTGATTCTGGGCTGTCCTGTGCTCGTGATGGGTATGCACATACCTTCTCTTCACCAGTCAGGCTACCATGGAATTTCACATGTTATGTGAGCAGGAAAATATTACTGACAGCGCTCTCTTGCTCGCATTCCACTACTCCTTTGATTCATCAACAAAAGCAGATATTTTGGGGCATTCTATGTAATGGGGTCTCAAGGCTAAACAAGAATTGCTACTGCCATTTATATATAGAAAAATATTATAACTACAGTTTAAAAGCGTGCCTCATCTATGCACACCATGGTAAAAATTTCTACCCTGAGATTCCAGTTATTCACAAGCTAACAAGTAGCTTCTGCTCTTGTAAATAAGTGAACAAAGATGAGAAAGGCTCATTACTTCAAATCCTGTGCTAGTTCAACTTCCTGCTACACTATTTTCCCAGTTGTTTTATTAATTTGTAAAGGGAAATCTAGATTTTAATATCCTACCCTGTAGAGCTTCCATCTCCTCCCTGATAAGGCTGAGGCACTGCCAAATAAAATCAGGAAACACACCGAATACTAAGGTAGTGTTGTGTTGTTCTGTTGGTTTTGTTTTTTTTTTTTTACTTCATCACATTACTTGTGTTCGTTGTTAACTTTAAATAATCCCAACACCTCCTAGTTATTTGCACGATAACATTTGCAGCTTAGTTCCTTTCCATAGTCAACGTTAATCAAGCTGTATAATAAAACTCTTAATCCTTTCTAATAATTAAAAAATATTGGGGGCTAAAAGTCTATAATGTTCTTTCAACACCACCTAATTGGTAAATACTTCTCTGCTGATTAGATGAAAAACTTGACTCTTCTTTGAGGCAAAGCCAATTTGGGGAATGCTAATACCTCCAACTGTTCTGGTCTTCTATTTAAGCAGCCCCAAGTTACTGTGGTGTTATTGTTTAATTACATCAACAGACATCCTATTTATGCCTATTTTGAGTAAGAAATACTCTCTCTGCCGAATGATGGGAACTGAGAATATTTTTATGGAAAACTTAAATTCTGGTTAAATGCCTCATGATTATAAGGTATTTCTGAGCACAAACCAGCTAGAAACTGGGACTGATCTGTCCTTCTCTGAGTGTGAGCACGTTTCTCCTGCTTTTAGGGTAGCAGTGAGACTGTAAACGCACACCCCTCCTCTCCCGGCAGCCAGGAGCCGTAGGCGGAGGATCTTGCAGGCAGAGATAAAGAGCTGGGTGCCTGGGGGGGGCTCAGTCAGATCTCAGGAGCCCCTGGGAGGAGCTGGGAAAGCCTGGCTTGGTAGGTACGGGGATCAGGGGGAACCTTTGTGGAGAAACATCAGTTTCAGTTGGAGCCCTGCAGCAGCCCCTCCGCTGGAAGATCTCCCTTCTGTGGGGCTAGCAACGGTTTGTGGTGGAAAGGAGATTGCCAGGGGCTGCACCCTACACTCGGTAAGGGTGCAGCTACCTACCCCAAACTTTACGATCAGTCACTACTTAAAAAGACTTTCAGTTAATGTTTTGAGGTTTCTCTTACATTGCATATATATATACCAGTCCAGAGTTTTCACTGCTTTTCCCACGGCTCCCACCAATGCTCACGTGGGCGGCCTGCCGTTCGATGGCTGTGGTCTGGTCCTGCCCAGAGCAGACCCATCCAGCACGGTGGGCAGTACCTATGACTCAGTCCTATCTGATCTTACCATTGTCAACCCATCGGTAACTGCTGCTGAGGAGATAATCCAGCGAGAGGAGAGTATGGGGTCACCAGCACTGGGTTCTGTCACACATGAGCACAAAACCCACCGAATTTCATCATGGTGGTACCTTCTACTGCCCTGTTTCTGAAGACCTGAAACAAAGCTGGTTCTGTCAGAAGGATTAACCTCAAGTCATCTCCTACAGCTATATCTTATTTTCCTATCGCCAGAGACGAGAAAATAAATCACTTTGAGCAGAGCCAGGGCTGCTACAAGCTTGTTATGCTTGTGAAGTAAGCACAGAGGATACAGAAATAGCAGAGAGAGCACTGGGGGCTTTCTGGCTCGTATTTCCACCAGTCATGTTTGTGTTGCACCCACCCTCATGGTGTCTAACCTGCAGGTGTATTTGAGTTTGCAACCTAAATTTTATCAGGCAGATACCAGAGTCGGCTTCCTACGCTGTGCCAGCATATGTAATGCATCTGAAAGGGAATATCCTTTGATAACCAAGTGTTCCTTCTTCTGCTTTTTTTCTTAATGGGACAAATATAGCTAAATAGCATTCCTGGGTCACGTAGTCTGAATCACTTTTCCTGGGTTGGCTGTGTGTAATGGTTAAATAACCCTTTATATTAGTTATCCTTAAACAAATCCTGTTGTGGAGACAATATCCAGTACCTGCGTTATGTGCGTCAGAGAATATTTTGTGTGAAAAGATTTTATCAGACCACTGACATAGCTTTAATCTCCTGACACTCATTGGGTGTCCTCCCTCCCTCCCTCCCTTCTCGCCCCACAGCACTCTCTTAGGGAAGGGCTGTGAAACATGCACAACTGGCTGAAGGAGAACTAATTTGAAAAGGTTTTGCTGTCTTGAGTAGTTTCAAGAGGGGAGAGGGAAAAGAAAACACTTTTCTTTACCCTTGCTATGCCAGCATGGCTGTCTTTGGGTGTCAGCAGTGGTGGCTGGGGGTTTTAGGCCATGATTTGGCTGTGGGATGGGTGCTGTATTTTGCTTTTGCTATTGGAATGGGGGGGCGTGGGGAACCAGTTTAGACTGATCTAGTGAAAATGGCTGTAAAACAATGCTTTGCTTTCAGAGACTTTATGGATGTACGTGGAAGAGGTACATCAATTACCTGAGAGGGTTTTACTGCATTCTGTGTCTCAAATTACTGGTTTTTCCCATTTATGTAACTAGTAGAGTCCATAAATTATGGTGGAGGATTTTAACCCTTTAGGAAAAGGTTTGCTGTCTCACTGTCCTTTTTCTCTTAGTTTTTACACGGAAAGAACAGAGGTTATGTTGAAATCAGGGTGTTTCCAGAGCCACTTCAGCTCTGTTGGAACAGACAGCTCTGAAAGACACGTTTTTCTTGGGAAATATTCTGACCTAGATCTCACTGCTATCTTTATTCCTACATTAGAGGGAGCTCGGGATCTGGCCCTAGCTCTGCCTGAATGTGTGACAGTAGAAACCCAGGTTGTGCAGAGGTGGGAATCGAGCTGTGATGGAAGCTGACTGGAGCCTTACAGTTTAGCCCATGTGGGCAGGTATCCTGCCTCCAGGAGGGAACACCTTTGCTTCTTGTTGTTTGCATTGGGCTCACCTGAGCTCCTGCTTGGTTTCTAAAGAGCACAGGGTCAGGCCGTGATGAGGGCCTCTTCACAAGTCCATGTTATTGGAAAAGGGGAACTGCCAGCTGTTTTTCTTGGAGGTTTTCCTACCTTTGTTGCTCCCGCTCTGATCTGTGGTGAGTGAATTCTGGGCGCTGGTGCTGTTCTGCTGGGATAAGGCCATTTGCTTTGTGCCTGAGCCTCTCCAGCCTGCAGTTGCTTCACACTTAGAATCTGCACCATCCTGTCCCACCAAATGCCAAAGTAATGATTCAAAGAGGACTCTTCCACTTTACCTCAGATTCTGCTGTTTCTTCTCCACTTTCTGCAGTTTAGCTGTTTCTAATTTTTTTTTCAGCTGTGAATTGATATTTATCTTCAAGAGCTTTCGCTTTGTCATCTCTCACTTCACCTATTCCAAATCTGTTTCTTTTTGGTCATGCTACTTCTGCTGCAAATGCATTATTCTTGTCATAAACAAACGGGCAAGAAGCTCTATGCTGACAGCGCTATTATTTCCCAGCAGTTATCTCCTGTGGTGGTTCCCTCTTGCCTGCTCTCATACTTCCCCATGCATAGGAGTGGTTTTGTAAACTTGCATGTCGAACAGGAACGGTAACGGTAAAGCACATTCTCAGCGTTTGTGTGCCCTATCTGCTCAGATGACTGTGGGTCTTACAGACACGGAGTTTGGAGGTGTTCTCTCTTACCATGCTGCATTATGTCCCTCTTCTCAGCAGGATGAGGTGGTGGGTAGGGAGTTCTGTGCTGCTTGACCAGTGATGGTGCCCCTCTGCTCTGCAGCTGTGTTCTTTGGAGGCATCCAGTATTGCTTTGACATGGGCCATGCTTCTTACAGTACAGGATTTCAACAAAAAATGCTTAAAGGAAACCAAAGACCTGTGGTGACCCACAGTTCAGTTCACTGCTGTATGTAATGTCTTTTCCTTTTCTCTTCAAGGATGGGGGAGAGCAGCAGCTGCCACGTACCTCGTTGGCTTTGTGATCCTGGTCATCTGTTTCGCTCTCGCAGTCATCGCGTTCTCGATCGAGATACTCCGCTTCAACTTTGTGCGAGGAATTGGAGGCCTGCTCTTTGTTGTTGGTAAGGCTGAGCACAAAGGCAAGGTTATTTTAGATGTAAAACAGGCATCAGCAGAAAAACATGCTAGGTGGAGCCTCCCTTATGAACTAAGCTGGCTTTGTCTGGCTTATGACTCATTTTCACAGGGAACAAGGGAAAGTTGATTTACGCTCCGAGAGGATAATGGTTAGGGAAGCTCCAGTGGCCTTTGTCAGTTAACACTTTCCCAAAAGCAGTGTACGGGGGCAACCAACACCTTTGACCCTGCCTGTCGCGTGCTAAGACTTAGGAGTTGAGAGCTCTGGCTGCTTCCCACGGCGAGGAAGCATGATGGGGCTGCGCTACAAGCGGGAGGTAACTGGCTCTGCAGGGATCACTGCAGGATGACTGTAGGACAGGGCTGGTCGTGGCATGCAGGTGAGTGCCGTAACAGCCTGGCAGTGTCAGCCATAGCTGTGGCACCCAGAGAGGCATGGGGATCGGCCTTGGCTAGGAGTCACATACATCTGTAGGAATGCAGATTGGATTGTAGGGCTGAAGCTGTTCTTAAAAGGGCTAGCAGTTATCCCCAGGTACCTTTTTTTACTGGGAAATGTAATATCATTCACTGTCACTTACTCCTGCTTTTCTTTCTTTCTTTTTCTAGCTGCATTCCAGATCATAGGCTTGGTCATCTACCCAGTGAAATTCGTGGAAGACATTCCACTGACGGGAGATAATATGTTCAGCTGGGCCTATGGCTTTGGTTGGGCCAGCACTGTTGTTGTAATAGGTTGTGCTTTCTTCTTCTGCTGCCTCCCCAACTGGGAAGACGAAGTCCTGGGAAACATCAAGCCTACCTATTACTACTCTTCCCCAGAGAGAGCACCATACTTAAATTGAAAGATTAAATCCAAGTACAATCAACTGTCAAAACAACAGAGGAGTACCTCTGCTGTAAATTTGGTGCGATTATAGGAGACTGAAAGAAACCACCGTATTTTTCTGGAGTATTTCTTACTAGCCCTGGCAATAAATAAGTAAAAACATTAGCATCTTTAAGCAAATAGCTTTTGCCCAAAGTACTCATTATGTATTCTCCTGTCGATTCAGTTTGGGTGGTTTACTTGTCCCTTCCCCTCCCAACTAATTGAGTCATCCTTATTTTATTCAACATTTGCTTATGCATGAAGATGTAGTGTTTCAAGTGTAGAAAGGAAGAGGAGAGATTTTCAAAAACCCATTAGAGGGAACTGCAAGTTTCTTTTGTTTTCACTCCTGACAAAATTGCCTTAAATGGAACTAGGAATAAACAGCCTTCCAAAGAATGCTTTTTCTTCTACCAAAGTCAGTCCCAAGGAAGGAACTTCCCTGAGACTATCACAGTCACCTGCTGCCTAAGAATCTCTTCTCATTCCCGTTACTGGACTATTGTGGACTATTAGCTATTTGAATTAAGGAGAAAAGAAAATTAAAATTTATCTTCCACCAGTTGGTGTTGTTGGATGGAGAGCTCCTCTTGAGCATGGAGCTGGTGTGCGTAACAGTGGCTAATGTAACACCTATTGGCGGTTTTGTGGCCGCTGCAGCACTTGTGACGGAGCCACGTGTAATTTAACATTGTCATAGAGAGAATCAATAAAAGTTAAGATGTTGAGCTACATAGATTTTTACTTATGTTTGAGGGATGCTGATTTAGAAAACAACTTTGAGTAAAAACATACACTGGTCTTTATGTCTACCATTTAAAAATGCAGTGTTTTAATTATCAGCTGAGCTTTGGAGGGAAGTCTTGGGTGTTGAAAACCTCCAAAAATTTCTAAAGCATACTATAGGTACTCCAGAGTTTGGAGATGCTTTGTGAGTCACTAGGGATAACAGGTAAAAATAGAAAAGCAGTTCTGTGAGCAATTTATGTATGCAAACTTCATACAGACACCCGTCTCTGGGAGTAATCTGGCTGGCTCCTACCTTGTGTGTCTGGAGCCAGCGATCCCAAATAAGTATTCCAGTGAGGCAGAGCTGAGTCTGTGTTGGTCATGGGCATGCAGCGGATTTAATTATGGTCTATAATCTTTGTCAGAGCTTTCTTCAGCTGGGGAAGAAGAGGGAAGAGGCTCATTTGTGGAGGTCTTCTTCCAGCTATGGGGGAAGTAGCTGTAGCAGAGACAGACTTCTGAGGGGGTACAGGTAGGGTGGAAAGCAAATGCTGTGCGTTACTTTGTGTAACAAGCAGCTGGGGGCTTACAGTACTTAGGAGAGGGTGAGTGTGTGGGTATATGTATTCATGCACATGTACAAATTAGAACTTAAAAAGCATTAACCAGCATACTGTACAGCTAAAGTTGTTTTGAACTAAGCCTTTTTAATGCCCAATTTTTCTTGTATTATACATTGTATAGATTTCTGTTTTGTAACACCTTTTTTAATTTGGTAATTCCATATATTGCATGTGATCCTGTTTTGGAAAGGCCGTGTGATTTCTGAAGGTCCTTTCCAGGCCTGTATTTTATAACTTTACAGAGTGTAAACATCTGCAGACTTCAGAACTGTGTTACAAGCTCAGTCGTGGTCTATGCAATCAACTGTATTTATGATTCTTGCAGAAGAAGAGAATCCTGTGACCAATGTCTTTTTGTTTGTTTGTTTTTCTGTACAATACTGGCTGGTGGGGAATACTGTGTAGACTTCTCTTTATCATGACTGACTTTAGTACCTAGCTTTCTAGTGGATTCAAAACACAGCAGGGGATTCCAAGTCTGGGAAATCCTTGCACAGCTATAGCTGAGAAGGAGAAAAGACATAAGAAAATGGACGCCCTTCCTAATGAGGGGAAGGATGCTATGGTAATAGGGTTTAGCGTAACTTAAGTATTTTGTATGGGGTTTTTTATAAGCATTGTCATAACTTGTCAAAAAAGCACAAATGTAAAATAGACTTGGCTCTGAATGTACTGGGAGGGGTGGAAGCATAACCAGCATGTTACACAATTAAGATGTTTAGGAGAAAGCTATTGCAAATAGTCATTAATTACTCTCAAGTGATACTAATGTATGTGGCACTCCTTTCAAATGTGGTGGCTTAATTAAAACCGTTTTAACTGATGATTGTAGAAACTGTGTTGTTTGTGGTTCATGGATTCATTTCATAAACTCAAGCAAATAGCTATTCTTTACTTCTCTTAACGTGAGTATCAGTATCCATTAAGTGTCAGCTTAATAAGTTGAAGACCTCATATGCCCAGGAGGCAACAACTTCATTTTCTAGTCAAATAAGCTTGGGTATACACTGCAAAACCCCTGTGCGCTTTCAGCAGAAGTGCCAGGCAGAGAAAACTCTGTGCTAAGCCAAAACCTCTTAAATGCATCACAACTTGAGGAGGAACCCTAAAGATTTTAAGACTATTATGGTCTACAGGAAGTCTTGGATGTGGGAAGCCTGTTCTTTTTCTAGGAAAACTGTGCCAAATAGCTTTCATATACTGATCAAGAACTTTAAGTAGGGAGAAAAAGAATAAGTACTCATCTGCTGTTTTCAGTGGAAGACTGCACTTCTCCTGTGATGAGAAATCTTCCCATTTCTAACCTCAGATTATGCATGGCCCGCATACAGCCCTGTGCTAGTGATATTCCATATACTGAACAACTCTTTCTCCCTCTGTGTTTTTACAGAGAACAAATCTCCTGACAGCCGTTGCTGCCTTAATCCAGCTTGTGGCTTCTGATTTCTGGAAAGACAGGTTCACCATTCTGATTTTTTTTTAGCAGTCCTCTCCCTTAAATGTCTTGGTTTTGAAACACACCACCCTAGATTCTGGCAGCTTGCATGGACTTCTTTTGTGTTTGGGTTTCCCCCCCCTCCTTTAATTACTCTTAATTTTAAATAGACAATTAGGGAAAATATTTTTGTTCTGTCAGATTTTACTAAATGCTTTGACTATAATTGGAGGCTTTGTATAATGCCCATTTTTTTGACATGAAGAACATTTCTACTCTTGTTTACCTACCAGACTGTATTCAGCTGCAGCCTGATCCTGTGCTCATTAAAATCCCCTGAACAACCCTTGCAAGCTTCAGGCTGCCGGGTAGCTCCTTATAACCCAACCCTGGAGAGGAGGAAGAGCAGTCTGGGAGAAACCAAGCACATGGCCCTCATCTGAGGGGGAGTTATGAGCAATGAAAACCATGTATGACTGGGTGCTGGGGAAGGCTAAATGACCTGAATGGGATGATTAATGATTAAATTTCATGGATATGGGAAACAGCTGCCACTCCCCACTCAGATTTTGTATTTTTTACTTGACGTAACAAGTGACTCATTTTGTAGACAATTCCCTGACAAGATAGAATTCTTAAGAATTATTCGCCCGACCTTCACATCCTGCATCTAGGGACTTTTGGACCTCAAATACATACATGAATCAATTCAGTGTAGTAACGGATCATTCAAGGTAATTTTTTTTTGTGGGGAGAAGGTTGTTACGATGATAAGCACTATAGAAACAAAATCACCCACGTACTAGAAGGAAGGTTACACACACACACAGAGGTAGAGTTGCTGAGATCATTTAGCTCTTATTAACGGTAAACCAAACACATATCAATGGAAATCAAAATGTTTCAGGAGATGCACAACAGCCAAGAGAGCAGAGGTACTGCTTCCAGAACGCAGAACAGTGGAGATTATTGGCAGTACGGCACAGCACCCTCAAAAACAGGTTTCTGTGCTAGTAACTGAAGCTGCGCAGATTTTAAAATGAACTTGGGAGATGATTCACAACCAGAATAAAGCATGAGCAAATCAGGAAGAGGTGTTTGCCAAAAGTAGTGAGGCCGAGTTTCTGATTGTTCTTGTAACAGGTACACGCACAGTAGTGAAATCCATCTGCGGTGAGTCCACACCACCTGGGATAGGTCAGCATTACTGCACGGCTGCAGCAGTTTATCCGTGTAGATCCCATTGCCCAAGAATGTGTCAGTTTTGCTGTGCGTGTGCAGCATATTTGTAAGATAGGTCCCGTGCATCAGGGGCGTAGGTCTGGGCTGGTATAGTAAGCAGCCTTTTGTTAGGGCTTTCCTGGCATCCAAAGGTGTGATGTAGTCAGGGTGTGATGTGGAGTAGCCAAGCTACCCCAGCTATGGAGGTCAACATCCAGAAACTCCAGGCAAAAACTAATTTTTGCCTCTGTAGAGTTGTTGGGAGTTGTCAGAATAATACAAAGGGGTTTTTTAATTATGTTTTTTGAATACCTAAATTTAATAAACTGAATTTATAATGAAGACTGTTGTGGAACACATGCACATAGAGTTTATAATACAAATATTGTTACTATAAATAATATAAATTAATAATAATGTGTGATAAGCAATATGCATTGTATGATATAAATAATAAATATAAGTGTTTTCATGAATAATATTCCACTTGAGTATGTCCGCAGAATTTGATAATATTTACTAGAAGGATTGGTATGACTGTTGCTTTTTATTTGTTTATGGGAATGTGGGCAACACATACTATTTTCCACAGGGATCTTTGTGAATATGGAAATATTTTATAAATATTAAAAATTAAAAGCGTCAAGGGGGCACACCAGAAATCAGGGTTCACTGGGTCTGAGAGGGATCAGAGTGAGCACTCACACACGAAACTGTGAGCCTAAAAGCCAGCTAACTCCTGTCCTCCACTGCCTTGGGAAATGATTATGGGTTAGTTAGTTGACTGTCTGGTCTTGAATGCACACGGAGGCATATAATTGGGGCAGGAGCTGATGTGTGGCCATTATGATCCCTTTTCAGTAGACAGCCTATTTTTAAACTCTTTTTGTGTTAGCAATCCCGTAAGACAAGAATTAAGCAGAGCTTATTGTGATTAAAAAAAATTAGATGAATCATGATAATTGAAAATTAATTTCTGTTTTGATTTGCAATAGAAAGACAGAACAACTTGCAAAACAAAATTTGGGAAAATCCTTACTGGCATTTTGTATCAAGACAATAGGAAAAGTTGAAAATGTTGATAGGAGACCACCATTTTAATTTCATCCCACTTTTAAAATCAATCC